GGGGGGGGGCGACTGGGGCAGCGCCGGGCCACGCTGCCACGGCTCCTCCGATCCGTGTCGACGAGCCAATGCACCCTGGCCTCGAGGGGGCCATGCATCCATCGCATCAATGCGGGCCCAACCTCGGCACAGCGGCTCTTCTCTCTCAAATTCATTCCGAGCAGGACTGTAACTGAGCAGCAGCAGCACCATTCAGATTCGGCTGCCCAAAAAGCAAAACCGCACGGATCGGAAGCCGAATGCTTGTCAACGGCTGTTGCGGTTGCGGTGCGGTGCGGTGCGGCTGGTTGGAGCTGCTTTAGTCGCCGCAATGCTCAACCCACCGCCCTCCGCCCGCTGCACTGCGCAATCATGCCTGCACCGTTCTGCACTCACTCTGCACCAGACTTACCTCATAGTTACGCGCAAAAGCATGTTCTCATCTGCGCTTCGCCCGAACCCTCTTTCGCTCCCTCTCAGTCTCGCTTCGCCGTCATTGCCAACGGCTTCCTGCTCCCCCGCTTCATCCTCACCCTCACCCTCATCCCCCCCTTCCCTGCTACTGCCCCTTGCCCCCTCGTCGCTGTAAGCCGAGGCCTATCCTTCCTCCTAACCCTACATCCACCTCCTCCTCTTCCTTGTTCACCCCTCACCGTTCGCGTCTTGTAGGCTCCTTGTCGATCGCTTGGCATCAATCGTGTTGCCTCTTCACCACCAACCTTGTTCGGCTCCCCACTTCCTTGGCACCCGCCCACCGATACACTCCCGACGGTGTCAACCCAAGCTTATCCTCTAACCGCACCATCACCGCACGCAGCCAGCTCCGCCCTGGTTACGCACGATCAGTATACATAAAGCCAATCGCCCTGCCCTGTGCTTCCTCACCCACGGCACTGCTTTCGACGAGCATCTCAAAAAGCTCTTTGGCGACCTCTCGGATGCAAAGCTGGATAGGATTCTTCAGCCCGTAGCCCGAAGTGCGCTTCCGCATCTTTCCGCAGCCTCTTCCACCTTGCGCTTGAGCTTGTTGCCAATTCAACGCCTTGCGCTTCCGTATCGTCGCATCCCCTCCGCGTCTCGGTCGTCGTCGATCGCTCTTGCATCACCCGCACGCAGCAACCTCTTTTTCCTTGGAAACCGGCTTGCATCGCATCGAATCTCTCACCCTCGTCCCGCAGCCGCACCGGTAACAGTGGCTCTACTTCATTTCGCCCTGCCCCCTTTCCCACCGGCCGACAAAACTCCCAGCCCGCCAGCCCGTCGGCCCCACCGCACAACCACAGCCTCGCTGCCGACATCTCCATCAACCCGCATCTCGGAGACCGTCAACCCACCATCTCTTCCACCCTTCTTCCGCCACGCTACCCACTGCTCGGATTGATGGTCGCATTGCTGTCTAGATAGCTCCCCAGCCCCGCCCACAGTCCCTCCCCAACGGCGACACGAACCCCTCCCACCCCGAGGATCTCATCAAGCCGCCACCCCCTATTCATACAATGCGCTCCTTCACACAGCCTCCATTGCTGTCCACAGGCATGCAGGCATCAGCAGGTGTGCGCCGCACCGCTGTATGGCTCTTGGCCGGCGCAGCTTGCGTTTCGGCATTGCCACTGCGCGATGGACCTTCTGTCTTCGCTCCCAGTGCGGCGCAGTCTTTGCAGCGTCGAGCGATCATGAAGGGCGACAACTACGTGCCGCTCGGCAACACCACCGTGCCGCTCTCGCCGCTGCTGCTCGTATTCGGCGGCCTCGGTGCCGCAGCGGTGGCGCTGGTGGTTGCGTTGATACGCATCTTGGTGCCGTCGTGCATGTCGAGGTCGTCGCGCATCGTGCTCGAGGAGCGCGAGCGTGCACGTCAGGATTTGCGCATCCGAGGCGCTGTTAGCCCGCGTGGCAGTCCGGGAGGCAGCCCCGTGCCCGGTGCTAGCACGCCGGTCCATCCGCAGCAACGACGATATCCGCCCAACAAACCCATGCGCAAGGTCGGGCGCAACTCGCGCGGCAGCTTCACTCCTGCCGACTCGGCTTCGAGCGTGTCGAGGAAGCGGTCGTACCGCGGCACGTCCATCTCGCTGTCGGAGGCGAGCAAAAAGGTGGACCGGTCGGTGGCGTCGAGCTTGAGCGGGTTTCAGGTGCCGCTGCTCAATTCGAACGACTCGAGCAGTGGATCGTCGTCCTTCCACCTCAATGCCAAGGAGACCATGTCGGAGCGCGCAAAGTATCCGATCACGGCGACGAACGATCTTAACGTGGCACGCAACAATCCGAGGCTGAGCTTTGGTACGCGACATCTTGCGCGGACTAGCTCGATTGGTAAGGGTGCTGATTTGTACCGCACACGCAGTGGGGGGCGTCAGCAGCCCGAGATTGCGTTGCATCCGCAGCCGGTCGATCCGGCGTATGCGCAGAGATGGGCGAGGCGCGAGTCGTATCAGCATCCGCTGCAGGCGAGTCGGCGCGATTCGACGCTCTCGGCGTACGAGGTGAGCAGCAGCTCGGCAGAGCACAGCTATCTCGAAAGCACAGCCACCAGCAGGATCGGCTCGTTCAGCAACATGTCCGGAAACCCGCTGCAGCCGCTCAGTGCGCCTGGGTTTGGGGCAATGCCGCAGGCCACGCAGCCTTGGGCGAGTCCGAGGTCGATGAGCAGGTCGCCGACTCCGGACTCGTCGTCGCCCAATGCGTCCAGGTTGGCTGTTGTGGGTGCGCCGCAGGTCGGCAGTAGGAACTCGTCGGTCAGTGCGCTGCTCGATTCGGATGGCAGCGATGCCGGCGTGGCGCCCCAGACGGCCGTGCTCATTCCATCGCGCGCGACGTCGTTCACAAAGTGACATCGCAACATCAGGACAATCATCTCGCATCTTTCTTGCTCCATGTCTTCAAAAAGTTCGTGCCGCTCGGGTATGTGCAGCCGAATGACAAGCAGCGCTTGGGCCGATGGATTTGCTCCGCACGTGCTTGGTCGTCGCTGCTTCATCCCCGATACTTTTGGCACGCACGCATCTGTACCAGTATCTTTCGCATCGCAACGCGCTCATTCTGTTTGCCATCGTCTAAGATTGAGGAATGTGGGGGAAGGTTAGGATGTTGATGTGGGATTGGCTTTGTGGGCGGCCGCTTTGTCGCGGATCTGGTTGGTGATGTCCTGGAAAATGGGGAACGAAAGGCTGTCTCTGTATCGGTGTATTGTTGAGCGCGAGAGGAGGGTTCCTGCTGTTGTGAGGCTGTCTTGCTGCGTCTCTGTTGTCAGCGGCTGGTCGATAGCCTGGGGTTTGTCGGACGCTTCGAGTTGGTTGAGTTGCTGTTGGGCGTCTTCCTTGGCGTCGTCCAGTACGCGCACCAGTCCAGGATCGATGGGGATCCTACCCAAAAAGTGAATGCCTTCTCGTTTCGCCAGCGCCTCGCCGCCGCCTTTACCCCAGACATTCGTGCAGTCCTTGCAGTGCGGACAGATGTACCCCGACATGTTCTCGATCAACCCCAGTACGGGCAACTGAGTCTTGCGACAAAAGTCGAGACTGCGCAGATTGTCCGCGAGACTGACGGCCTGCGGGGTGGTGACCATAACTGCGGAAGGCTGGAAGGTACGCAGGTATTCGAGGATCGAAATGTGTTCATCCGACGTTCCCGGTGGTGTGTCGATGATCAGGTAGTCCAGAGCGCCCCATCGAACGTCACCGAGGAACTGCTTGATCATAGCGTTCTTCTTCGGACCCCTCCAGACGACAGAGTCGTTTCGAGAACGAAGCAGAAATCCGACGGACATTACGGCGAGTTGTTGCGACGCATCCGTGTACACGGGCACCCATCCGTCGGTGCTTTGCTTGACCGTCGCACCGTCCAGGCCCAACATGCGTGGAATCGACGGTCCCGTTAGGTCCACATCCAGAATCCCTACTCTGGCCAAACGACCATCTGCAACGGGGGTCGAGGAGAGTGAGAGCGCAAGCTGCGCAGATACGGACGATTTGCCCACGCCACCTTTGCCCGAGAGCACGAGGATGATGTTCGACACCTGCGACAGACGGCGTACGATCTTGGGGTCTGCACCGAGATGCGACGCCGACGGCGAGACCGATGGTCCCGATGCACTCATCGCGCCGGATTGCCTCTGGCTTTGCGTTGCGGCGGAGATGGTGGCAGATCGTTGAGCAAGTGCTCAGTCGGGATGAGGGAAGATGCAGGGAGTCACCTCCACGCCGGCTATCTTTTTTTCCTTCCCCACCCGCACCTGGATCGGGCTATGCATCGGATCACCTGCAGGAAAATCGGGCAGCTAATCTCCGCCCCAGTCGAGCTTCATCATTGTCGGTCCGCCTGACAGCTATTCACGGCACTGCCGCTTACGAATGCATTGTGACTGCATACAAGATCTTCGCCGAGTCGTTCGAAACCTCACGCAGCATTGCGAACCATGACATCGGTCGTTGAAGATTGTACGAACAGCTTGGGATTTCTCGTGCGTGTCTTCCGCGAGAAGGGCATCGGGAGTGGGGTCCACTCGTACGTACCGCGCTCGTACGCCGGCTAGTGTGGAGTTGTGGTGCAGAATGACGCAGACATGTTCTATTAGCCCTTTCCCCCCATCCTCGGGCTTACTTGCCGAAACCCAGGCTTGTGGAATGTCCATTCATTGATGACAGCCCGCATTCGCTGTTCCGGAATGCAGGGTCGAATGTTTGCCCACGGCTTCCGCGAAGTTCCCGAGCTTAAACCTGAACCGGACCACCGTCTTGTGCTTTGTATATTAACCCCCCCTCCCTTCCCGAGCTTGGACATTGGTCGCCCATCGAGACACACAAAGCATCAAGCTCCCCTTACTACAACGATCTCACTATGATTTGGCCACGAGACGACGCTTCGGTGCGCGAGGCATTCAAGAAGGACATTGACAACGTGCATCTGTTGTACGACTACGATGCCGAGAACCCCGAGACGGGCGCACCGGAAAAGTGGCGCTACGAAATGTGGTTCCGCTCGGAAAACCGGATCGTCTACGCCATCCATGGAGGGTAAGCCCATCTCTCCCATCCCAATGCAATCTGGCATATGCTGACTGCTTTGCTGTACAGACCGATGGCGGGTCGACTGAACTACCAAACTGCCGACTACCAGTGCATCCGACCGGGCGAGCTGTGGCAATGTAACTGGCTCGAAGGTAAGCCTGTCGCCTACCCCGCTTTGACCGAAACAATGCTGACTGGGCTGAAAACGTGGTGTAGAGACGGGAACGACCTGCTCGTTGGTGTACGACATCAAGAAGCAAAAGATCACCACCATGCTCAACTTTTCCAAGGGCCACTGGGAGAAGCCGCAGGAGGCGCATGGCGATAAGCGCAACCCAGCCGACTTTGAACGATGGCGCAACCTCGCCAAGATCGGAATCCAGACCGACCGACACATCCTCAACGACCAGGCCACCATCCTCGAATCCTTCCGCGGCGCTGGCGACCTCAAGGACATCGACCTCAACGCACCCACCCTCTAGTCCCCTCGGCACCTTGTCGCTTTGCAAGTGTAATGCCATCCTCCAGTTCTTTCGCAGGCGATGGAAGTATCTGTCGTGTGATTCGAGATGGATGTTCAGAGAGTGCACGAGAGCCTATGCAGAAAAGGGCGCCAACCTCGCCGAGGGCTTCTCGCTCTGCGTGCGCAGGTCGTACTCGCCATGCTGCGTGATGTATCGCACCCAAGCTGTACCACCGGACAAACCGAGTGAGAAAAAGGGAGTGCAAACGACGTCAGTACTTGTTCGTGCACTGGCTCTTAGGCACCTGAGCAACTTACGCAGAGCTTGGTAGCCCGACTTTTCGACGATCTTGAGGTATCGCACCTGGATGCCCGAGACGGTGAAGTAGGGGATTTCGAACTTGATGCTGATGGGTGTGCGGCGATCGAGCGTGTCTTCGCTCTTGACGCTGGGCAGGCCAAAGTGCGCGCGCATCAGGAACTCCTTTCCACCACCGAGCTGCTTGATCTTCCACACCATGGCCGACTTTTCGGGCGCATACACCACCGAACCAATCGCCGCGCGGAACTTGGGCGTGTCGGCATCGTCCGGCACGGGGATGTGGATCTCCACATTGTTGGCGGTGGAGCGACGTTTGAACTGCGCCTTGACCTTGACCATGAATTCGATGCGGCTGCCTTCGTGACGCTCCACGATGGCCTCGGCCCATATGAGCGGCTTGACCTGCGTGCTGAGCCGGTAGCTCATCAGTTCAAACTCGCCGTCCGGTGGGATGAACGAGATGGTGCGGTCGTTTTCGAAGCGCGACAGACGCACGCACTGGTGGAACTTGACGTCTTCCATCTCGATCGCCTTGCCGCGTGCTGCCCTGCCCGTATTCTCAAACATGACCTTGTCGTTGAGACCGAGACGCAGCTCGGGCATGCCGGAGAGGTAGCACTTCATCTTGATGGCACCCAGGATCTCGCTGCGCACCACGTTGCCGTTGGCGCTGACGAGAAGGTTGACCGACTCGACGACGTCGAGGAACACCTCGTTCTTGCGGTAGCGGATGCCCTCGGATCGCCACGAGACCGCATTGGTGACGGCCATGGGCGGACGCACCTGCACCTCGAGCTTGTGCGACTCCTGGGTGATGTACTCCTGCAGGATCTTGGATTCGGTGGTCTGCGGATAGCCAAAGTCCATCATCTCGTCGAGCAGCTCGTAGATGATGACAAAGTTGTCGCGGATCGACTCCTCCTCGAGCTCCTTGAAGTACTCCTCGAGCACCGACGCCAGCTTGTGCAGGAAGATGAGCACCTCGGCGGCGTTCGAGTTGCGCCGTGAGAGCGCGAGCAGATAGAGGTTGTTGTGACGGATAAACATGTAGTTGACGCCCTCGGACGAGAAGCACGGGCTCACGGCGCTTCCGCCCGCCTCCTCCTCCAGGTCGAGCAGCAGCGGCAGGAACTTTTCCACCGCCGACGGCGACACATCGTCGCGATACGAGCGCTGGATGAGCGACTTGCCCTTGAGGTCGACTATGGCGATGAGCGACGTCATGCTGGCCTCTAGATGCTGGAATGTACGTTCGAGTAGCCTCCTGACTGCAGTGCCGCAGTGTCCTCGTCCGACCGACTGACGTACAGAGCGCAAACGGCCGATGCGCTAGGCCGTGTATCTGCTGACTCTCAGGTGGGTGTGTGCGTGCGCGCGTGAGGGTGGTGGCGATGAGCAGAGGCCGGGCTGTAGCGGTGTCGATGAAGCGTGGACGTGGGAAAAGGAGAGTGTGATCTCGCAGGGTGGCCTGTGTTGCACTCTCTCTCTGCTGGCGCGCAGCGGTCGATGGCCCTCGGTGCGGGTCGCCGAACTCAAGTCTTCGCTCGCAACGCCACGGACACTCGAACTTAACATTTTACCCAATTTTCCGCGACCGGTCAGCCTCAAGGAGTCCAGACTCGAGTCCAGACTCAAGTCAAGCTGCGGTCCTCAGAGCATCTGTGTGGACGCAAAGCAGGGGCCAAGACGTGCTATCATCCATCGGAAGCGGGGGCGAGACAGTGTCGATTCTACGGCATACAAAATCACAAAGCGCATCTCCGCATGCGCATCAGTGCACACGGGGCTTTTTGCGGTAGGCGTCCTCGTGGGCAGGCTGACCCTTGAACATGGCGGCCAGCTGCGCGTACTCCTGGTCGTCGTCGACGTGGACAAAGTGCTCGAGCTGGTGTGGCGTGCCGGCGGCCGCCTCGTCCTTGCGCTTCTGCCTCTGCTCGTTCTCGATGCGCGCCTTGTCCTTGGAGGCGGTGTCGTAGTCCTGGGTGCGGATGCCGTTGGCGACCGTCTTCCACACGTTGCGCGACTCCATGGCGCCCTGCTTCTCCACCGGCTCGACGCTCACCTCTTCGCGCTCGGTCGAGGCGTCCCAGAAGACCTCGTTGGAGCCGCCGGAGGGCGACTTGCCCTTGTACTTGCAGACGCCGGCCCACTCGCCCTCGACGGTGTGGAGCGTGTTGCCGCCGGCGCCGATGGTGGCCTTGAACGAGTGCGCCTTGCCCGAAAAGTAGCCCTTGCCCGTGTAGCTGAGCGTGGTGAGCAGGCCGGTGGTGGACTGGATGTACGAGTTGCCCGTGAGCTCGACGTAGGGCGAGCCGTACCACAGACCCTCGATGAGCAGGTTGGGCAGCGTGATGAGGTAGAGCTCCTCGTTGGCGCTGCCGGGCAGCTTGAGGCGGAGCACGGCGTGTCCGACCTGCTTGACCGAGATGGTGCGGCCGGAGAAGGAGGTCTTTTGTGCGCAGTGGCCCTCGAGCGTCACGCCGGCGGTGGCGTTCCCGATGGCGTAGGCGGTGACGGGTGGGTGGTGCGACACCTGCTCGGCGGTCAGCGTGGTCTCGCCGCGGCCGTTCTTGTCGCCCCACTTGCCGAGGAAGAGCTCGCCGAGGATGGGATTGAGCGGCTTCTTCTCGGAGCCGGTGGAGATGTTGCGTGCGGTGAACTGACCCTTGAGCGTGCCGATGAACCACTTGAGCACGAGCGTCATGCGCTCCACCTCGTCCTTGCCCGTGGCGATCGCGGCGAGCGTGTCGGGATGCTCGCCCCAGTACGCGGGGAACTCGACGAGCGACACGGGCGACAGGATGAACGACGGCGCAGTGAGCGACGACAGATCACCGGAGAAGGTGGCGATGGACTTGAGGAACTGGCCCCATCCCTGTCGCTGCTCCTTGGGCACAGCACCGCCGACTTCTTCTTCTCCCATGGTGTTGGTGGTGGATGTAGAGGGTGGGTGGCGAGTACTATCTGTAGAAAGAAGACCTCTAAGCGTGCCGGTGACGACTGAACGACGCGATGCGATGGTGGTGGTCGTGGTGGTGGTGATGGAGAGGAGGCTCACTCGAAAAAACAGGGCCAAGTTGCAACGTGCGTGTGTGTGTTGGACCGCGGGCCAGCTGACTGGATTTGTGTGGAGTAAACTGGCGATGCTGGGTGCGGCTGATGCTCCCTTTTCCGGCTCGAGGTTGGGGCGACGGCCGAGTTGCGCGTGCCTGAGCGTCGGGCACTGCCAGACCTGTTTTTGGGCCACGCGCGACAGGGGGTCAGCTGAGCGCTGCTGGTGGGGGCAACACGTTTCGCCTCAGCTGGCAGTCACTCACCTGGCTCGTGCTCGCATTTTTCCTGATCTTGTTAAGCCGAGTCTATTCTCCGACGAAAAGCTCGCTTCAGCTGGCGCTCTAGATGCAATGCGGTGGTGTGATTCGAGAACGACTAGCAGCAACAGGAGAACTGTGGTGTACAGGATGCAAGGACAGGTGGTATGCGTGTGCGAGCGAGTAAGGAGGGAGATCACGTCGAGATGATGGTGGCCTGGATCTCGGGCCGGCGGCAGAGCTCACGGAAGAGTCGGCGCCATTCGAGCGGGTCGCCCTTGCCCTTCTTCATGACCACGAGCGTCTTGACTGTGTCGTCCGAGACCGGGTCGACGTCGCAGCCCGAGTCGGAAGCCATGAGGTTTTCGACCCACACCTCGCCGCGCAGCGGGCACTTGCGCTTGTCCATGGTGGCGAGGCGGATGCGTGCGCCCTTGGTGCCGATGGCGAAGCGCTTTCCCGTCGTGCTCGCCGCCTCCGCCGACGTGTGTGGCTCGCCGCCGTCGACGATAAAGTTATACGCCTCTTCGAGCTCCTCCTGCTCGCCAATGGCGTTAGTGGCGTTCTGGATGGCCAGACTGTCGAGCACATCGGATACCAACGCCACCATCTGTGACGGCGTGGCAGACGAAAAGAAGCGCGTCAGATGCGGCGAGAACCGATGCGAGCTGCCCGCTCCGACCATGTTGGTCAGCGCCTCGAACTGCGTAAAGTGATTGAGCGCCTGCGTGAACTGCGAGGCGCCCGGGAGGCCCACCTCGGAGCCGGTGGCGCTCGAAGAAAACTCTTGCCGACGCGTCGTGATGTGCTGGCTCATGGCAAGGCGGCGCGACATGTCGTCGCTGCCCGCTGCGATGGACGGCATGGCCGTCGACGACGGAAGCGCCAGTCCACCTGCACCATCGCGCCAGCCACGCGCCGACGATCCACCGGCACCGAGCTCAAACGAGCCCGCCTGGATCGCCTCGGGCTGCGTCAGCGACACGTTTTCCGGCACCTGCGCTCGCTGGCCGTCGGTGTGCAGCTCGAGTCGACGCGCGGCTGCGGCTGCTGCAGCGCCGCCAGCCACCTCGAGATTGATGTCGCCCGACACCGCCAGACCTTGGAGCAGCTTCTCGGCGAGGTTGACGGGGTCGTTGCACTTGCCCTTGTTGGTCATCAGCTCGTTCTGCCGCCTGAACCAGCGGTGGCGACGGATGCCCTCAAACGTGATGCGTCGCTCGGGATGAGGGTGCATCATCTTTTTGAGCAGCGACAGCGCATCCGCGGGGATCTTGGTCCAGGGATCGTACTCGAACAGCGCGCCGCTTCGGTAGGCGTTGTATTCGGGCGATCGAGACGTGGGCTCGTCCCAGGGCGTGCTGCCGACGAGCATCGCAAACAGCACCACGCCCGAGCTCCACACGTCGACGGGCTCACCGCGGTAGGGCTTGCCGTTCATCTCGGGTGCGATGTAGGGCAGCGAACCACAGGCGCCTGTGAGCTCTCGCTCCTTGCCCTTGTACTTGTACACCGAACACAGGCCAAAGTCGGCGATCTTGAGGTTGCCTTCGGCGTCGAGCAGCATGTTTTCGGGCTTGATGTCGCGGTGCGTCACGCCCTGCGAGTGGATGTACTCGAGACCGGAGAGGAGCTGCTGGAAATAGAAATGCGCCAGGTCCTCCTCGACGCCGTAGTCGGGCGCGATCTTGTCAAAGAGGTCGCCACCGGCGCCGAGCTCGAGCACCATGTAGAGGCCGGGCACGTAGTTCTCCTCCATGGACGGCGTGCTGCGCATCCTCTCGCGCTCCTTGTCGCGCGCCTCGATGGACTCCTGCGTGGTGGCGATGGACTCGCCCATGAGGATGCCCTTCTCCTTGCCCGCATTGCCATTCTTGTCCACACCGCGCTCGACCGCTCCGAGGAACTCGAGCACATTCGGGTGTTTGAGGATCGAGTGGACCTGGACCTCCTTTTGCAATGCGCGCCGGTCGATGGGATACTTGTTGGATCGGTTGGGCGCATACGAAATCACCTTGATCGCCGCGACCGGGTTCGACTTGGAGTTGGGATTGACGGCGCGAAAGACCTTGCTAAAGCCGCCGCCGCCGATGAGCTGCACGAGGCGGTAGTCCAGCACGGGCGGGTAGGACTGCCCTGTGGACGAGGTAGGGATGGGCATGATGGGCGGTTCCTCCTCGACGACGACCACAGCGACAACAACAGGAACGACAACAAGATGCTAGGGGGATGGTGGCAGGTGGGGAACGATAGGGCTTGTGGTGCCACAAAGGCTGCGCCCCTCGATCCCAAAAAAATCCAACCTCGCCGCAGAGTGTTGGTCTCCCCTCGACTGAGGCGCGCGCCACCGACCGCCATCGACGCGTCGGGTAGAGTGGCATCAGCAACAGCATCGACTCAGCCAAACAAAACATCGGAAGTGTGCGCAGGATCAAAATCGCACAAATTCCTCAAAAATCGGAGTCGCGCGCCCCACCGCTGCAACGCATAGCGCACGGCTTCACATCAGCGAATCGCCTCCACTTTGGATCGCCCTTCCTCCTCCTCCTTACTCTCCTCACCCTTTCCCTCTCAATCTCTTTCGGTTGCAGCTCCTGACATTCGCGCCAATGACAGCCGTAGCATCCTCTTCGACCACTGCAGCGTCGGCAGCGGCGCCCTCCTCATCCGCATCGCGCCTCGAGCCTCTGCTGCTCGTGGCGCGCTCCACCAAGCCCCGGGGCGCCGCAGCCGCCAAGCTGATCCACCAGGCCATCTCCACTCCAGGTGCATATTTCTTCAGCGAGCTCTTCGACATTCCGGGTGTTGCTGAGCTGATAACTTCTGCCACGGAGTCGGATGGTCAGCTTCGGGCGGCGTCGTACCTGCTGCAATTGTTTGCGTACGGAACGTACGATGACTACCTGCAGCTGCTTCGCGCTGAAGCAATCGAAGCGGTTTCGGCAGAGGAGGTGCAGAAGCTTCGACAGCTGACGCTTTTGTCACTGGCACGGAATAGCAAGTCCCTCGCGTATGGGGACATGCATGCTGCGCTGGGTATTGCCCATACGCGCGAGCTCGAGGATCTCATCATCGAATCCGTCTATGCTGGCCTCATCACCGGCAGACTTGATCAGGTCCAATCGCGATTCGAGGTACACCATGTTCAAGGAAGACACGTTGCACCTCCAACGCACACTGTGCTTCCGTCTCTCAGCGGGAACGAGGCATCGCTACAGCACATCTTCTCTGCGCTGCAGACATGGCAGGCCACAACAGCGTCGGTCCTTTCCAGCCTCCAATCGCGTATGGACGCCGTCCGCTCCACAGCCGCACAGGCCGAAACAGCCAGAACGGAACACCACCAAGCACTACTGCAGAATCTTACAAACGCACAACACCAGCTCGAAGCCCAGCAGAAAAAGTCAAAGCCAAATGCAATGGACCTCGACGAAGACTCGCGCACTGACGCCAGGAAAAAATCCACCTCCTCAGCTGCCAGAGGCAACAAACGATCGCGCGCCTAAGCCCCCATCCTCACATCCCTGCAATGCATCACCATCCCGAAAGATCCACAGCCTGCCACATTGATACCGCTTTCTACATGAGCCTGCGCGAGTGGAATGACCAAACCCTTCGTGACCGTCGGCAAGGCGACCTCGATCGGAGATGATCAAAAGGGAAGGATGGAGTCGGATCCATCGGACGGCTTGGCTTCAAAGGCATCGGCCGCTTTGGGGCAGTGTGCATCGTTGGACGCATGGTCGATCGCATAGCACAGATACAGCGTATCCGACCTGTCACCATCGCAAAGTGAGAAGAGCATCGATCAAGTCAGCGTGCGCGCTCTTCACCTCAATGATCAACCGACACTTACGCATTGCTGAGCACGTCGGCACACAGCCTGAGTGTCCAGTACGGCAACAGCGCACACAGCAGACCAACCAGCGGTGCATCTGCCGGCACATGCAGCTGGTGCGCCGAAAAGAGGAAACCGACCAATCCCGCCAGGAACGAGAGCGCGATCGCCGTCAAGTCGAGCACGAGATTGATCACCAGTCCCTCCATGACGCCCTGCACGCCGCGCCTGCTTACCAGCTGCGCACTCTTCTTGGCTGCCGTCCAAAACCCATCGCCCGTGACACCCACGTACACGAGCGCCAGATCGCTGTACGCCTGCAGCACCGCACCCAGCCCTGCCAACACGCCCACCACATGCGTGAGCGGCTGCAGCAACCGCGGCACCCTGCGCTGCGTCGTTGCGTCCGAAATCCTTCGCGCCACCTCGGCCACCAGCGTGAGCGTCTTGATCACCGCCAGCGCCAGTGCCGACATGCAGATCGAGCCCAGCGCCGGACCCGTCGCACGCGCAAAGCTTACGCGCACCACCTCGGTCGCATCCGGCGCCGCGTGTCGACGCGCCGTGTCGTGCGCATCGTGCTGCTGCGGATACGTACCTGGCGCTCCGGGCATCTCGTCGTAGATCGAGTCATCGTGTGCAGCGTAGGCCACCTTGTCCAGGCCGTCTTCGTCCGCACGGCGCTCGTCCAGAGCCGCTGTGCGAGCCGAGGGCGCGTGGTAATTGGAATGGGCAGCCGTGCCCGACGGTCCTGCAGCATGCGACGTCGCTGCGGCCGGTGCGCCATCTCCGATGCGGTGGAAGTACCAGTGACTCACGACGCCGGCGACGGTGACGCGCTGCACACCGCGCAGTACCGCCCAGGTCCAAAGCCACGCGCACAGCGTAGCCCAAGCCAGCCAAGCGGCCCTGGTGTCGGTCTGCCACTCCATCGAGTCGCCCTTGGGCCGTCCAAAGTGGCCGACGAGGAAGAGCCGAGTAAAGAGGAAGAGGAAGGGGATCGTCACGAGTGCAAACACGCCCAGTGAAGCGAGCGCAAGCACCAGCAAGGCCGGATGCATCAACACCACCGTGCAAGAGAGTTCGAGCACGGCGATGGAGCGAGAGAGCGCCTTGCGCCGCTGCCACACCATGCGGGCGAAAAGCACGGCGAGCGCGAGCGGGAAGATGGAGATGATGCGCAGACCGGTGGTGCTCCACCCGCCTCCCGACCATGCTTCGTCGTCGTAGACAAAGCTTCCTGCAAACGCCCACACCCATCCGAGGCTGAGTACGATGGGCACACCCATGAGGCCCGTGCGTAAGACCTTGGCGCCGCCAAACCGACTCAAGTTGCGGAGGAGCAGCAGGTTGCCTACTCCCGCCGCAAACGAGAGCACGGTCAAGAGGATGAGGATGGGCAGCGATCGCGTGATGGTGTAGTAGGACGATGGTCGTGTCTTGGGCGACTTGGGCTGGCTCGGCGTGCGAGCACCCCAGCTGAGATAGGCACCAACCAGGACGACAGCACCGATAGCGGCAGCGAACGTGGCGATGGCGGTCTTGTCCCGATACTTGCCAAAGGCGAGACGGTTCGCCCACGGTCCCCAGCCTGCCCTGGCGGGCGGCGCAGGATAGAGGTGGATCTCGTCGATGACATCTTGATCGTGGTGGTCACGCGAGGATCCTGGCCGGGCATCGCGGCCGGAGCGTTGGTGGCGAGAGGAAGATCGGTCGTTGCGAGGATGGTGCTGCTGCAGAGAGGCGTCTGAGTCGGTACTGGAGGCTCTTCTGATACCGATGCGCAGCGGACGCGCGTCTCCGGATCCGGATGGCAGGAGAGGTTCGCGCAGCGTCGAGGTCATCTGGCGGGCGCGGTTGCGCGACATGCGACGGTTTCGCTGGGTGCGGCGTCCGTCACCCTCGGTGTCGTAGTCCGAGTCGGTGACGGAAGATGCAGAGACGGAGCCGGAGCGGGAGCGCGAGAGGTCGGAGCGATCGTCGTCGTGCTCTGCGCGCTCATCGTAGATGCTGTACAGGCCACTGGGATGGTTGCGATGCGAGGCTACTGTCTTGGAACGCGGCGGCTTGGCGGATGCTGGGGATTGCGCATACAGCGAGGACTCGCCGAGACGGCTCTGGTCTTGGGTGCGAGTGTGGGGCGAGTAGATGCTAGACTCGAAGGGATCGTATCGGCTGTCCCTGGCAGAGCGTGAGGCGGCCGTGTTGGTGGTGCGCGAGGCGTCTGCGTCGATGGTGGAGCCGTGTGCCAGCCATCCCCGTGCTTTGGCAGCCTCGCGACGATGTTTTTGGGCCGCTGTGGGCACGTGTGGCGAGTCGGATGTGATGGCGGTGCGTCCATCCTTTGTGCTGGACGTGCTGTAGTGGCTGGCGGCATCGTCGAGATCGCCGTCGGCAAGGAAGGGGTCCTGTGCATCGGATGGGGCTGCGGATGATGAGGGTGCTGGCCGTGTTGGATGCTTGGGCAGGAGGCTGTCTGCGTTTTGGGAGCCATCCAAGCTGTCGTCGAGATCGTGGGAGCGGGACGAGTGTGCGAGACGAGAAGCTAGGCCTGGCATGCGGCGATCGTCGCGCCAGAGGTCGACGTCGTCCTCATCGTCGATCTCACGGATGAGCGACTCGCGGATGGCGTGGGTGGCGTGATTGGCTGCAGGTCTGCCTCGACCGGAAGCTAGAAAGGAGGCAGGACCGAAACGGCTGGCGCCTGTGAGGCTGTGCAGGATGCCGCTTTGCGATGGGTGTTTGGAATGCGCGGGAGGGGTGGGGAGGCCGTCGGAGCTGGATAGGCTGTACTCGGGGCCGTAGGGATTGTGCGAGTTGTTGGGATGGGAGAAAGGCGCAGCGGAGACCGAGGCGTGGCTATAGAAAAGAGGGTCGGCTGGATCGTTGGCGTCGTGGTCGGACTCGACGCCCGGGCGCACGGAAGTAGCGAGGCCAGAGGACAGGAAGCGTGAGGCGTACTGCGAGAGCGACGTCATCCTGGCAGCAGGGCTCGATGGAACGACGGGCAGGGAGCTTGAATGGCGAGACCACAGCGGGCGTCAAGTGCGGCCCAAGGCCCCAGCACGCGGTGAGGAGCGGAGATGTCGAGACTCGTTGATATGGAAGAGTCGTATCTGCAGTAGGTATCGAAGCTCGCTGGGAGGAATGGATGGGAAGAAGTGAGCAATCCAGGAGTCCAGGCGTTGGGCTGAGCCAAGCTTTGACGAGCAAGTTGAAGGTGGGACGAGAATGCGGATGGTGATGGGCACGAGCAGCGGTGCGATGGTTGAGCGTGCGAACGAAAGGTGGGAGCCGGATGTGAGAGATGCAAGCAAGATTCAAGATCCCGAGCTTGTCTGTGAGCTTGTGAGCTTGTGAGGATGAGGAGGAGGAGGAGGGGTGACAAGATCACGAGAGCACCAGCCTGGCTCACTTTTTGAAAAAGGGATGCGGCTAGCCAGCCAGCCAGCCAGCCAGCCAGC